CCTGTTGGCTTCTACTAACTCATCCGTTCCACCTATCTGACTCCTATACATGCTTAGGCCCAGCCTGCATCTCACCTCCTCCTGGCAGCCCTCCTTCCTACTCCCTTCCTTTTCTGAGTTCTGCGCCACTTGCCGGTGTCCACCCCCCTCCCTCCCCTTCCCCACCCCTAGCCAGGTCCTCCTTAGTTCTCAGCTAACACACACATGCCCAGTTCTGTCCTGGCCCCCAACCGTGGACTGCCAGCAGCCCCTGGTGGGCCATTTTGGAGCCCAGAACACTTTCAAGGACACACCTTGTCCTGCCTGGGAGACCCAGGGGAGGGTGAAGGCCCTGGGCCTGTGTGTGTGTGTGTTGAGGGGTGGGGAGCATTCCAGGAGGCCTAGGACAGGAGGGACAGGGGAGGTAGGAGGAGGCCCATTCCAAACATGTCACTTTTTAAACATTTATGTGGACCAGAAAGCAGGACATGATTTTGGGAACAGTCTTCTAGCTTTCTCTTTCTTTTGTCACAGGGCACAGGGACAATAGTGACCAGATTTCTTCGACCTCAAACTAAGGCCCAAAACATGCCAGGTATCCGTGCCCTGTGGGTCAGAGGGAAAAACTCCAATGCTGGGGATGTTTGGGAGCCCGGGTGGCAGGCACCTTTGGCAAAGCTGGTGCCCATGCCAGGGGGCTTCCGTTCCTGCCACAGTAAGATGGGCACGGGGCACGGGGAAGGGGAAGACTGAGACCCCTCCTGCCACTACACCTTGCCTGTCTGTGGGTTTCCTTTGGCTCCTTACACTATAGTCCTGTGGACCGTGTGTTTGTTTGTCCTGTTAGATTGTGGGCCAGCCCAGGGCAGGTTCTCTGCAGTCCCACCGCTCATGCAAGGCCCACCCACAGCAGGCCCTTGATAAATGTCAGTAGAATAAATGTGTGTATTGCCATCGATCATGTAATTAATCTTTTCCTTATAAGCTGAGAAAGAGATTCCCTTGTTTCCCTGTGCACTGAAATAAACCAAGCAATGCAGGAGGCGTCTGCTTTGGGAAACTCACATCTTAGCACTGCAGTCTCCGCCCAGAGCAAGAAGGCGTGGGCGGTCCCATCTGCAGCCGCCTCCACTGCCACCGCTCCCCTTCTCCCTGCCGTGTGCCAGCACCGGGCGGGGCCCAGCAGCTCACTGACCTTCCACCTATGCAGAGCCTAGATGAGGGGCCTTTCTGGCTATCCTAAGGCCCTGCAGCCGTTGGTCCCTGACTCAGTTACACCATAATTATTTCAATCAATGGAACCACCCATCTACCCTGGGAGTACACTCTCCTGGATGATCAGTCACTGCTTGGAAGCTAGAGCTCAGACCAAATGACCTTTCCAGGATCCACTGGAAAAACCACACATCTGGAGCAGAAGACTAGAGAAGGCAAGGTACCCGGGACACAGAGTCCCCAGGAATGGGCTGAGGACAAGGACACAGGCAAACATCAACCTTGAGCACTGTTCCCAGGGCAAGACTCACCTTTGGCCCCGGGGGCCCTGGGAGCCCTGGTGGACCGGGCTCCCCTCTGCCTCCTCCAATGGAGTTGCCAGCATCTCCTTTCTCTCCCTGGTGGTAGAAAGTAGAGTTGCCATCACTGGGTCCACCCAGCTCTGGAGGGAGGTGGTTGATCCCTGACTTTCTCTCCTCACATTCAAAGGAGTGGAGGCAGTTGACTGGCCCTCAGCCCAGGCTGGATGTGGGGCGTGTGGTGGGGGGTGGTGGAAGAAGTGGGCATTAAGGGCCCGTGGGCACCAGGATAGCTGGGGACCAGAGGTCTTCAGAAGCCCAGCCTGATCTGATCCAGCCATGGGATGTGAGGAGGGAATGGAGCTGGCTATGGAAGGGGAACAGGTTTAGAGATAAAACAAGAAACCCGTCAGGATCTGGGTCTAGAACAGTGTTGCTCCACGTGTGTTCCATGGACTCCTCTTCAGGGGACTGGAATTATTTGAAATGTGAAAAAATAGGGTCCAGTAGCCAAACAATGTTAGGAAAGGCAGAATGAAGTGAAGCTTTGCAGGCTCCTTCACTGCAGGGTGCTCAGTTCAGACATGTTAAGGTGCCCTATGACTCTCCAAGGGGGCCTACCTTATACAAGTCTCCCCAAATGTATTTGACATCTAGTCATTTATTTTTTAAATGGAACATCTCATGGAGCTCGTGTAGCATTGAGCACATTTGCAGAGCTGGTGTAAAGAAATTTGACCAGGTCGTAGTTATAGAATTCTTTAAATCTGGGCATACTTTGATCAGTCAGGGCCTCTTGTGTGGTACCCCATATTTCCCTTCTCTGAAACAATTTGGCTGTGTTCCAGATACTTTCTCCCCAATCAGGGAGAAGCACCTCGAATGCTAGGTTCGTGTGGATGTGCAGGGCCAGGGATGTGGGTGGGAATGGCCACTAAGATCCCTACACAGGACCCGCCCTTCAGAGCCCCTCGATACCCACCTTCTGCCCCAGGAGGCCGAGTAGCCCAGGGGAGCCTGCAGCCCCCTTATCCCCCTGTGGAGGAAACGCAGACAGTATAGGGTTAGAGACTATTCTCCAGGATGTCGGTGAAGGCAACACCCTGCCAGTGTCGGACCTTGGCTTCCCTCTCTCCTGCCTCCCTGACCGTCCGTGGGCTCTTTTCTAAAGGACTCCACTTCCTGAAGAACTCACATCTGGGCCAAACTCCTTCCTTGGGCCACTTCACACTGGTGACAGGCTGCATCATGGTTCTCCCATCCCCATGTGGGCTGGGCCCTCATTGCTCACAGGGGGAGAGAAGCCAAGAACATTTAGTCCTTTTTGGGGTCTCCTGAGGAGAGGCGAGCAGTTTGGAATGCCAGTAGTTGGAGATGCCCTTCCTGTTAACCACTATGCTCTTTTCATGTTTGTAATGTCTAGCAATTGGAGTCCCCTGGTCTCCAGGGGGCGCTTTCTGACCCCTCCTCCCTGCCTCTAGGGAAGATTAACCAGAACTTCTCTTTGGAGGAATATTTTGAGAAGCTTGCCCACTCTCCCAAATTTGTATGTTGAAGTCCTAACTCCCAATATCTCAGAATGTCACTGTATTTGGAAATAGGGTCATTGGAGGTATAATTAACTGCTGTGTTATGAGGTCATACTGGAGTTGGTTTGGCCCCTAACCCAATATGACTTGTGTTCCTATAAAAAGGGGAAACTTGGACACAGACAGGCATACGGGAGAACACCATGTGAGGATGAAGGCAGAGATTGGGGCGATGCTGCCACAAGCCAAGGAACAGCAAAGATGGCAGCAAACTGCCAGAAACTTGGAGACGGGCCTGCAATAGGTTACCCTTCACAGCCCGCAGAGGGAACCAACCCTGCTGACGCCTTCATCTCAGACTACCGGCCTCCAGACTGTGGGACAATAAACGTCTGCTGTTTAAGCCACACAGTTTGTGGTCCTTTATAGGGCAGCCCTAGCAAACTAACACCCCTCCCTAACCAGCTTCTTCCACTCCTGAAGAACTCTCTTCCCCACGCCGTGAATCTCAGGGCCCACCCTCAGTGCCAGTGACGAAGCTCCGTGACTGAATAACCCCTCCCTGTGTCAGTGGCAGAGCTGGTCTAGCACATAGGTCTCCTGATGCTTCACCTTCCACTCCAACAAGACTTCACTTTGCATTCACGGGGCGTCCTGCATCAGGGGAGCACCCCCAAAAGCGCCCCGCCAGGTCAGCACAAGAAGCTCCACTCTCCATAGCTTGACAGTTGGCAGTTCGCATATGTAATAATATAAATTGAGGGTCTTGGGTCATAATTTGCTCGGGGATCTTAATGACCTTTCCGGCTGAAGTCACAAAAGAAACCACACCAAGTCTTGGAAGGGGGACGGGGGGTCCATTCCCTGGCCACCTGCCCTTGGGTAGAAGCTGAACGACATAGTGGCCTGAAGCTTGCCAATAAAAGGGAGGAGGTTGGGTAAAGGCCCAGGTGACGGGAGGACAGTGAATCTTGGGGCCCCAGCAGGCCCTGCTTTGCTGGGCTGTGCCTAGGTTGTGCCTTAGCCTGGCATGTGCCCTGAAACAGGCTGGGTCTGAAGGGAAAGGATGCAGTGCTGTCCTACAGCAGTCCTAGGGGAGTGAGGACAGAGGATGGAGGGCCTTCCTTCCTTCTGTTGGGCTTTCCTCCTGGGAGGGAGGGAGTGCTCTCGAGTGGGAATTTCTGAAGCTCTCCCAGGCTGTCCCAGACTCCCTGTTCCTGGGACGCAATGGCCCATAGCACACTGCAGGCAGCATGATGGCCATGGGGTGGGGCAGGGAGCGGGGGGCCAGGGGAGGCCAGGATGAAGGGGGCATATGCTCAAAGACACACTATTCTACCCTGTGCCCGCTTCCTGGAAAACCTGGGGGCCCTGGCTTCCCTGCTGCTGCTGGGTCTCCTTTTGGGGTAAGAAGAGAATTACTTATAAGAGGATGGGGGCTGGTGGTGAGGGGTATAATGGACAGTGATCATGGACAAGCCTTTCCAGAATACCAGTCCCTTAAGATGCTCCTCTTAAAAAAGGATGCCTGGTCAAAAAAGTTTGAAAATGCTTCACAAGATATTACCTTTTTAGAGCTTCTCAAAGTACGTTTAGCATATTAAAAGCTCTGAGAAGGCCTGCAATAAAAAAACCTGTGTAATACTTTTAACCCCATGTTTCTCAAACATATTTGACCATGGAAACTTTTTATCATGTTACATTTTTTAATGAACTAGACAAGAGGGGCAGGTACCCACGTGGCTGGCGCTGGGTTAACAGTTACTGTCTACTGGAGCCGGTGTGCAGGCAAACTGGCCAAGCTATCCAGTCCAGGATTCAGGGAGGTGGGAGGCATTTGCCATGCATTCCTGACAAGCAGGCCCCACCCTTGCAGGCAGCCCTCTGCTTAGTCAGCCTCAAGGGGACCCAGAGCAAAGCAACAGCAGCCCCTCCCACATCCACCTGAAACCTGATGCTCTGTGCAGCCCAGAATGTTCCATTAGTATCAGTACCTTGGTTCCTGGGGTCCCCGGCTCACCCTGTGTGGAAAAAAAGAAGACTCAGGTAAAGAAATGAGCGAATGAGAGAGA